CTCCTATATTCACTTCAAAGTCAACAGTTAGTATTATGTAATTGAATGCACCAACAGCTGGCAGAAGACTGCAAGTTTACTAATATATATACCTAAAGCATTTCCAACAGGCTACAAATATTTATCAACAACTCTTCTCGCTCGACATTGATTATAACATGGCCACAAAAGATTTACAGCAGAGAACTCTGTAGCATGAAGAACCAACCAAAGGCCCAGTAACCAACAAATGTGTTGAAGAAAATTCAGATGAATTGGACAAACTCTAAGAAGATTGTTATGTGACTTCGCGCTGCTGGTCGGACTGATTGGTTTCAACATAGAACTTTGCACCGACGTGCAGCAGATCGAGTCACCATACTTCACTCAGCACACAAAGCAAGAGAAGAAAGTAAAAAGAAATGCAAAATAGAGGCAGTAAACAGAGATATGAGACAAAAAGAATAGTAATATCGGAAAAGAATATAGTTTCATTGGATATTCTAAGTCACAAGGAGTAGATGCGTCTGCGCCAGCCATTGACAACAAATTTGAGCTATACCACAAATTGTCTCCAGCCACTGGTGTTTACTGTCCCGAGGACCACAACCAGTCAGGCAGTCTACATCTTCCTACGTGCCTAGTTCAAACTAACTGTTGTGGATACCATTGACTGACGAAACCAAGTTTTGGTTTGACCACCAGTGGCTCTTTTCCAACCTTACCCTATGTTAATCGGCTAACATCGTCCATCGAGGAAGGCGGTGACTCCGCTAGCTTGCGTAACACATGTCCTAACCATCTCAGTCGATGTAATTTCACAGTCTCGTCGATTGATTTTCCCGCCTTACCTAGCACTCGACGCCTAATATCAATATTGCTCACCTTATTATACCACTTCACGCGGGAGATAGAACGCAGACACCTATGATCAAAGACAGCTAGTCAGGCTTTCCATGTCTTCCACTCTCAATGGCCAGGTCTCACAGCCATAAAGGAGGACGGAGCGGACTGCTGAACATTACACACGTCCTTTGGTTGATAGCCGGATATCACGTCTAGGCCAGAGACGGCGTAAACTGGCATATGCCACAGTGGAATTAGAATGAGGAACGACAATTTGGGTGTGTATCCGAGAGTGACGCAGAGTAGATCGTGTGGGGAGAAAATGACAGCTTATGAGCAGTCATTGAGTCAGCTGATTAAAGACTGCAGAGAATAGAGTGGAGTGAGAATGTGCCGCTGAAGGTCTATGTTCCACCCGGAACCTAAGTGAATTATTATCATCATAATAACTGATGGCAGCTCATGATGAAATCCTCCATCCAAAAAATAATATGAGCTAAGTAATTATTTCAGATTCAAGCGAATTTATATAGGCAGACAAATGATGTTGCTATGGAAAACTAGTAAACACCAGTTTCCCCAATAGTCGCTGACCTTTTCATGAATAGATTCGAAGACGACATCTTCTTAAACATACTCACTCTTAAAATATGGTTAAGATATGTAGACGATACTTTTATAGTGTTAAAACGAGATCTACACAGTTCATTCCTGGAGAAAATAAACAATCTGTCTCCCAGTATCCAGTTTACTTTGGAAGCAGAATCAAACATCGGTGAACTAGCATTTCTAGACTGCCTAGTTAAGAAGAGGAAAAACGAACATTTTAGTACATCTATATTCAGGAAGAAAATCCACTCCAATAAATATTTAGACTTAGGATCATCACACCCCATCAGCACAAAGGTATCAGTTGTTTTAAGTCTTCTTAGACGAGCACACTCTTTGATGTTAACGGATGAGAAAGAAAAAGAAGAAGAAATATCAAACATTACTGAGACTCTCAAGCAAAATAACTACGCAAAGAACTTAATCAACAAAACGTATTCCGAAAACATGGACCTCAACAGTTGTCATTGCATATAGAGCAGAGACGTCAGACGATATCATAAAAGTACTCAATCACCTCGACATCAGAGTTTTCTTCAAAACATCAGACACACTTCAAAGCAACCTTGTCCATATAATAGACCAGATCCCTAAAGATTCTCTATCTAATTGTGTCTATACAATAAACTGCTTGGAATGTGATGCGTTATACATCGGAAAAACATCTCGAGAAATCAAAATCAGACGAAATGAACATCATAGAGCATCTGTTCGACCACCGAGAAATCTAGTTCAACTAGAAAATCTTGAAAAATCAGCAGCCATAGATCCACACATTAAAGAATCAGGTCAAGAAATTGATCTTGACAATGTTGAAACAATCCAGAAAAGCATTTCAGGAATCACAACGAACGTCTCACATCATCAGAAGCACTTCGTATCAAACGGAATCCAATTTGACTGAATAGGAATAATGGACTAAAGTGGAATTTGACCCGATTGCAACAACCCCTCCCATGAATTAAAAAATCAACACGAATGTGATAAGCGATTGCATTACGTAAACACACGCTGCTTTTATTATTCTACACAGTTATAAAATCCAACAATCTACACGTGGTTTTGTTATCTTTACCAATTGGCCAACTTGACAATGCAAAATTGAACCCATGCTGAGGAATGATGATTAAGTTGTTACATATAAGCTGAGGATATTTTGTAAATTCTTCTGGTTTAATAATACTTTGATAAAGCTATTAGCATTAAATACCGAAACGTCAGCAAAAACAACAATGTCGTTTTGTTTCTCAGTCATTGATGGATACCAAAAACCTTTATTATAATGAATATCACATACCCAATGCCCAAATTATTTTCAAACTGTAAAAGTGAACTTGGTTTGGACATATATATACACTTAGGTTGAGTGATACATGCTTTAGGCTAACAATTTCGAAGAATTATTTACCACTATACACTTGGCAAAGATTCACTATACACCTGGAACAAAGAAATGCTATATATGAAGATGTTCCTTTAGAAATGTTATTATACCGTTAGCAGTTGGGACAGTTCCTTTAGAATGTATCATTCTGTCATTAACCAAGACAGAACAGAAATGAGCACAACAGTCCATCTGGACATTATGGTTCTTAATATTAGCCTCAGTAACCAACCATGTAGAACAGGATTATTAACTCAACATAAGGACACAAACCGATTCAAAAGAAAAAACTCATCCAAATTGCATCAAACTCACCTTATGGTGAGGCTTAAATGAATAGCTAGTTGATAGAAACAACCAAACCATCACAAATTAGTGAGATAATAACACCCGCCATTATCGCCTCAGTATTAAGTCCTAATTAGCTCAATCGGTTAATCTCTACTTTACATCGAATAAGTCTTTTGTCTATACAAACTGGTCTTGTAGTTTCTTAATAACAGTATCTAATACCGACAACTTTCAACAACACTTCTCATAACTAACCCAGTAGTTGTAGAAACGACGCGACAGTATGTGATATGGACTAGGAGCATGTACTGTACTACATATGTTTATGCCTGTGAAATAAAGAATGGTAGTCAAATTCTATACCAGTAAAGCCGAACTAGTCATGTAGGCGTGAACAGGAGTCTTAGGATGATGGTCCTCCAAGGTAAGAAGCATAGAATGTGTGAATAACTACGGTGTAAGAATAACGATACCGGTGTCACTGAAGTATCCAGAGGCTCCACAACTATCTGTAGTGCTATTTTTAAGGAGTCATCAAATTTTTATGCTAATTATACAGCACTTTATGCAATACGTACCTGTTATTTTACAACACCAAATCAATTCTGTATCGGTTGAGCAAATTACACTAAAACAGACTATAAGCCAAATACACAGGTGTCACACACTGACAAAACTAAGAACCTTTTGCACAAAAATCTGCGCATATATGGTATATGGCTGACTTTCGCTAAATGTAGCATTAGGATGAGGGACAGATACGCACCAATTACTGGTTCAAGGACAAAACAAGCTGGTTAAGCGTGATGCGTATTCGACTTATTTCAAAAGTGCTGGAACGAGCTCCGTGTTGGCTGGATAAAAAATGAGCCAAATCCCTACTATAAGTTCGCAACCATACTGAACTGGGCGCTGACGAAAATTCCCCACGGGGGCAGAAGCCTTCTGTGGTACTTGCAAACTGGTGCTATCTTGAGGAGACACATCGAAGGGCATACACATGATGCAGCAGTTTGCTGCCATTCTTCATAGCTGCTGATTGTAGGGAGTATGAAAATATCGGCTACCTTTTTCACCACAGCTGCCCTCTATCACTTGGCTGCCATAACTTAAATACCACAGCAAATAATAACGTTAGATGCAGTGTTATTCAATGACAGGTTCACAGATGAGGTTCTAAAATTCAATAGAATAAGGTGGCTAAGACACGCGCCACGAATGGGAAACTGTCTTAAGTGGCGAGTCAGTCTGAAGGATGGTTAGGTTGGAAAAGCGAGGGATGATACGATCAAAGCACAGCACTGAACCACGTACGGACATGTAGATAACCTAACTGGGTTCTTCGACGCGCTAACAAAATTTGACAAAAGAGCTCCCATGACCACAGACAATTTCACATTCTCCTACATTGTAACCGTTATTACCAATATTCATTTAAATATTCTCCCTTTCGTACATCTTTGTCCATTTGCTTCATTTCTTTTTACTACCTAAGCGCTTTCTTAAGATGTAACAACTCGTACTGATTAAATTCTGTAGAAGTACTAAACTATCTCTCTAGTCCTACAAAAGTTAGATATAATAACAGTGAAGTGTTTCTCTGAAATTACCCGTCAAAATTAGGTCTTATTTTTCGACCAATTCTAGTAAAAATAAACCATTTGTCAGGTTTTATCATACACCAAACAAAGTTTAGAAAGTAGTAATTCAGTCGCATGTGTGAAGCAAGTATACTAGTAACATTCGCTCACGCATCCAAAACATCTTAGACTGACATTCAAAACATAATAACTAACAGACAGCGGGGAATTTCGACTGACTGACAGTTTGGTGGTGATTACCCAACAACAGAGTCTAATCTAATGCCAGGACTTATTACGAACAACGTTTACCACCAATGTTAATACACTACAGCATTGCAGAAGAGAATAAGATTTTTTTACATTTATAGTGTGAAAATTATATTAAACTAATTTCCACTTCTGTTTTCCAAAACTCGCTCCTGATACGACCTAACCTAAAATATGATGATTAGTTGATGAATTGAATTACCACCTTACCATTTTTTGTACATACTCCGTTTGAGATTTAGCCTGCTGTGTGTCCAAATTGCAAGAAACATTGCCCTCTTTATAAGGTGGACTGATGATCGTGTGCTCCATTACTACAACATTTGGTTTGTCCCAGACAACACTGAAAAACCTGATTTTTAAGTTCGAACACAATGTAAAAGGTACGTTTCGAGGTATTCAGCTAGTTCACGAGCTTCGGTTGGAACATCGTGGCTGTAGAACTTCAACTTCTCTTGTTGAATTCGCTCATTAGCCCGAATACGTTCGACAATCTAAAAGAAATTAAAATATACACAATCCTAGATACAAAAAACCTTAGTGATACTTAATTCAGGGCATGGTGGCGGCGATCCTTTGCTGATGCTTTTCAAATCCCTCAAATACTCAGCCTTTAGAATCAGTATATCACACGTGTCTGGATGATCATTGCTGGATGCTTTTTCTAAAATATCGTAAACACCGATTATTTTACTACGAAATAGAGAATTACGCAGTACAATTAACTTTTTGGGAACATCTATACAAAGAACATCCCCTTTAATAAATGTATCCGAACAGTAGGCCGTTATAGTCGACCCAGGTTCAGGAAGGTTATCAATGGTCATTGTAGCCAATCGGTTTACAACCTGCGCTACGAAAGGTACAAATTACAATGAGTTGTCAATCTAGCAGAGACGTTGATTTCCTCTCTTTTTATAGGTAATTACAACGGCTGGATGCTAATCACCAATGAACTTTTTAGTGTTGTCTACTTCGCCATCCGGATTTAAGTATTTTGAATCTCGATAATTTCATCAAGGATATTTGCACTCAAAGTGAATTTACTTCGATTGTAGGGAGGAGTGAAGAAATATCTGCTTGTTTTATGGTTACTGATTGTGATTCGTAATGACAAGAATTCATCCTGTCACATAAGGCCTGAAAATACTCCATAATAATCACAGGCCTTGTAGGTTAACCTGGTCTTCATACAGAACTGAGATAAGGAAAAACATTTTATTGGAAATATTAACCCCGTCAACCTAACGGAGGCCTGTGGGTGATCGTATATCTGCCATTCAGAAACCTTGGGTGTATAGATCCTCTGAATTCTTCCTTCTTCTGTTTCAACAGGAATAAGATTTTTAGACTCGCTACATTTTATCGAAGCTTCACACAGTTTTCTACGGGTTGTCCAAAAATAAAAGCCCAGAACTTAAAAATGCCAAAACTGTAAGTTATAAGAATACTTATCTTAAATAGAACTAGTGATTGTCCTGAAAATGTTGGCGAATTGTGTGTGTTCGTCGGCGGCACAGCAGTAGGATGCTCGATCCCCGGCAGATGCACTGCTATACTTCACCAAGCCAGTAATAGGGCCGGTAAAGGGAGAAAGTTGAGTATGAGTGTTAATAATCAACACCACCGCTACCGAAACTTCAAAGCTCTAGCTTGAAGCCTGATGTTCCACTATTCAGTGTAGAAATGATTCTCTTCAGTCAGTAACCACATACTTTCTTTTACTTATTTAAAGTATATAATTTTACAAAATATTTTACGATGCCTTCCATGATAATGCAAGCAGACAAGTCACTCTTCAATGTTCAACGCATACCATGAAAAAAGAAGTCATGCAAAAATTCAGCATAATAAGTTCGACCAACTGACTACTTTTCCCGGCATCATTCTACCTATTTTACCCCTGACTGTTCCACTATTCATTTTGCCATAAGCTATCACTTAATCTGCTCTAGTACTGGCCACTTCTATGCGTTTTTCATTTTCAAAACCTAACTTCATAGTATTCTGCAATAACCTCTCTATATACATGTATACATATACAGAAATAATACTGCGAACGATGTCCTCGTAAATCTGCATGTCTAGCGACCTACTAGGAAGCATTTGTCATGAAAGCTAGAAATGCGTAGTGTGCTATATTATTGGGACGGCCACGAAGCAGAGCAGTGTTACAACCACAACTGTTGCAACAAAGAAGGGAGGGTGGTGTACGTTGATCAGAGGATATGGTAGTGGTCACATATGCGAATCGCCCAAACCTGTAGGACAGCAACATGCATTTTGACGACTAGAGATTTAAAACATGAGCTTAGTTCCATATATTACTACATATTAATTACCGTTTAAGACCTTAAAAACCAGGTGATGTTTCCACCCCAAACATCTACCAGCTGACCTAGTCCATATTTAAGATATAATCCCGTTGAACCTACACAAGTTCGTAACACATCTTATAAGTCAGTATGTTCTATTTTTCTGACCCTTAAATCCCACGTCTAATTAATCTATCATTTATATATTTCATGATGATTTTTACTTGGGCATCAATATGTTCTACTGTATCTTGTTCGTTTAACCTGCCTACGAATTTAAAACTTGCTCTTTTTTTAGTATTCCCTGTCCCCACAAAGTCTAGTTGAGCAGAAAAAACGACGCCTTGTTTGAGCAAGGTGATATTTTGTCGCAAACATCACGTTTTCGGTATTGAGACCAATATAGTTAGCGTTACATATGTATAGGTTCATTCTAAAGACTGCATACCTCCTTCGTGTGTATCTTATTTAAGTATTTTTAATAATAAATTATCCACACCTGTTGAAGTCTGACTTTGTTGTTTCTCAGAACTTTTTACTCTTCCACCTGAAATTGCTCTCAGTCACGCGTGGATGTGTTACTTTTCTGGATACTGATTACCTAACAGTTGATTAAAACCACTTGCAGAAAACAAAACGAAATTCGACCTTGATTGCGAAGCTAAGATTTGACAGATATATGACCCCATTCCGATGGTTCACGTTATAATTCGACCATTTGAACTATTGAAACAATGCCAATTAGTCAAAGTATTATAGTACTAATTTATACCAAGTTTGGTCGTGCCCGTGAGAATGGCATGCTTTTATGCAAGTTCAAGGAGGGAGGGTGGCGCATGCTGATCAGTAGATATTGTGGTGGACACTAAGGTGAATCGCCCCATTCTGCAGGAACAGCAATATTCAATTTGATGGCTCGAGATTTCTATGAGGGCTTGAATCTTTATCTTGAATAAGATAATAATGATCGCCCGGACAGATCATGCTTCTACCTTTAAACATATACCATTCGGTCAGCCTATTGCCGAGATACGACCACGTGGGCTCTGCACTGATTTATGGGGCATCTTATAAATTAACATGCTTTCCTTTGTCGTATCTTCGAATATCACTTAACAATGTCTCATCTCATACATTTTCTAATAACGTCTTCACTTGCTCATTATATTCTATTAAACCTAACATTTTATAGCTCTTTATGAATTTGATTCGACCTATTTTATTCCTATTCTCTATAGGGTACGGTTGTGCACCAAACACAAAAAGGTATGAAATTAAAACAACCGGCTTGTGGATAATTATATTAAACCAAAAGTGGACAACATGATAGTAAAACCTATAGGGTAGCATTATACATTGCAAAGGAACTTTGTCAGCCTAGGGATTATAGTCTCCCATTGTATTTCCTTTATGAATGCATATATTAATGATACATTCCATTTACCTATTTCATTACACTTTAATGATTCACCTTTGCACCTTTACTTTTCTAAAACAGCTTACTATCCCTTGTAAACGTTGTACTTACCTCAATATTGGTTGGTTATCGTATGCCTACAACTACGGGTCGAAAACGAAATGAAGTCGATTTTCCTGCGCAACCTGGAGGACTGCTGTTTAATTCAATAATGATACGACATGGGTCAGACAAAGAGTGTATTTATACATATATCGAATATTTAACTGTTCAAACATTACTAACTTGTAGACAATCTACTATTTGACATTATATCATACTTGATCGTGCCTGTAAAAATGGCATGCATTTTCATGTAAATTTATGTTTATATGAAAATATAAATTATTATTATAACTGTTTCTAAGAAAATATATATCGTCGTTTTACCTATAACAACCACCTTATCTACAGTGATGGAGATTAAAGAAGCCACTTCTTGTATAACTGAACTCGCAAGGAATAAGCAAATCGTCTTTGCCATCATCATGTGATTGTGTGTTTCTATATTATTTCGGTATTGTTATTTAAATACATCCTTGTGATAATAAGATGAGAAATCACTGCCTATGCAGCGCTAATAAACCTGGATATCTATGATGTAACGAAAATATGCTGACAGCTGCGCCTCAGATCCCATTGACTCACTCGGTGGTAGTATTCCGCTCCTGCATGCCTCATTCGACATTTTTTATGTAGTGGATCACGGTTACTCTGGTTCCAGACCGAAAAGAATCAAAAATCCACCGGTTGATGAACCATCAATAGTTCTCTACATGTGTAACTAGATAACAACTGGTGTGGTGAACCTGTTACAGATTATATTGCTTAAAACATCGTTTACGGTAAACTAACTAACGTTTTATAAGCCATTTTTATACTTTTGTGGGTAGCCAACCATATCGACCACATGTGACGCAACACTCAGTTGTTACGCGCATTTTCGAGAAATTCAAACATGACTGGTGCCTAGGATTATATCATATAAGTTGTTCTAACTTATGCAAAGTGCGCTTACTGTCATTATTCCATTACCTTCCCTTGTATATATATATATCTTGTGTCAGTGAAACTTTTAAACATGCTTACTCCATGTGTACATTATTATCATATTGATGATGCCTGTCAATCGGAGTTCCTCATGTGCATAAATTGAGAATATATTATTGCAAGATGCATTCCATTGTTATATGAAGGTGTAGTGTACATTGAACCTTCGAGCATTTGTTTGAACAGACTCACCTGACCTTTAGCACTACTTCCTCTTTCGATTCGTCAATTTCCTGTACGGTTTCGGTTCGCTCTCTCGTTGTGCTTTCATCCGGCACACTCTCCGAGCTTACCACCGTCACGACTGCAGATAAGTAATTAACCTCTTATATTTTATCAAATCTCATATCGCTTTTGTGTAAATATAACTGTGTTCCAGTCAAAGTTGTCATCTCAAGTCTTTTTACCTTGATTCAGTTCGTTAGTATTTGCACATTAGGCAGAGTACAATTAAGGTCATAAAGCGGTGAAGTTTTTGTAAGAGTGGTTAATTTAGGTCTAAGTTAAGCCAAGTCTAACTGTTACAAGTGGTGAGCCCGTGTTTCCACCTTTTGCCTCCATAGTAGCTTAACGTGTAAATAGTCCTTTTTTATATTGACAATTTGTTTTTCACACAGGTATATAATTTTACTTGCCTTGTTTTTACTCATATTTTTTGTTATCATTCTATTAATATATCGTCTTGTTCGCAGGATGGCCGACAACAGTTCCGCCTCACAAATGGCTATCACCTTGCAACTCCCTACCTTCTGGACACATCGTCCTGTTGCATGGTTCGGCCACATAGAAGCTGTGTTCGCCCTCCGACATATACACTCACAAGAGACAAAGGCGAACCTGGTA